CCATTTCATCTCCTGTTCTGTACAAATGATTTATGTTCCCGGACCGGCCAATGGGAGAGCAGCCGTTTGCGTGACAAAGCGAGAGATTTCTAGTATTTTTTTTTCTTGCACGTCGTGTCTGAGTATGAGAAACTCTTTTGGCCGGGCTGGTGCTGTTTGTACAGATGATCTCCTGTGTTTGAATTCAAAGAAACGACCATGAGGGACTGGAAGACTAACGGGTGCCACCCCTTAACCTTTAAACTCACACTCACAGGCGCAGAAAAACAAATGCTTCCAATTCTAGGCTCTGAAACTGCAAGGCATTTAATGGTAGCAATGAACATTGCCCTGGAGAAAACAGAGGGCATTTTGTTCAATTTGTTTTTATTATTACCGTTTAAATCAGAAGAGCTATACCTGCCCAGATTGACAAGGGATATGAAGAATTAACTGTGTATCTTTAATCCTGAAGCTATTTGTATAAGTCTGTCTAAATCACAGCTTGCGAAACGGGAGTTTGCAGAAACAGCATTTTACTGAACATAAAATAAGTTACAGACGAGAGGAGTCATGCAGCCCATCTGGCCCTTTTGGTCGTTAGCAGTTAATTGATCCAAGGATCTTCTCCAGCTGTTTCTTGAAACGAGGCTTCTATATGGCTGGGTGGTTTGTTCCATGCACCTAATACCCTTTGTGTAAAGAAATACCTTGTGTTCTAAGTTTAAAATGCCCCTCCACCCAGTCTCTGCTTGTGTCCTCTGGTATGTGTTTCACCCATGATTCTGAAGAGTTTCACTGGGTTGGCTTTGTCAGTACCTTGGAGGATTTTCCAGACTTGGTTCAGGTCCTATAATAACCTGCTCAGTCCTAGAGCAAAACTGTTCCGTTTGTAGAAATCTGGCTCTGGCCTGGAGTCATTGCTCCCGACCAAGCCTGAGAGCATTTTACACAGACACCTGCTGCTGTATGTGACACCTCGGGAATCGCTGAACGGTGAGGATAACATCATCAGGAATAGCCACTGTGCCATATTAAGTCCAGATACCATATGTATCTTGTCAGTCCTGATTCCAGAAGTGCAATATCGTTTTTGTAATATGGAGAACAAAATTGTTCACACTATTCTTACCGAGTTCTGACATTGCATCGTACAGTGTGGTGCATTGTGCAATTTTCTGGTTGGTCTTCTAGATCTCCTGTTCCTGGGGACTGGTAACTCTTGACAATTATTGATGGATTAAGCAAGTCATCTGCTCAATTAAAAGAACTCTGACCTTTGAGGGCTGGAAGGTACTCTGAATATGGTCCCAAATCATTTTTAAATAACTTTAATTAGTCAAGTCATCTGCTTTATTGGTCACATTAAACATGTTTCAAGTCTTCACAAACTGGTGAGCTCACTGTACGTCCTGTGGGATGTTGGAGTGTCCAGTGCCAGGGCTGGAGACCGCTTTTCTACACTGTTTACTAATCCTCTGACAAAAGAAGGAAAATCAGCAGGCCACAGTGTCTTCAGAGAAGGGAAACTGAACTCCACCTGTAATGTAATCCTGTTTACAGCACAGTCAGCCACTTCCACATTCACCATATCTAGTTTAGAAAGTACACGCCTGCATCGGTTTATGTTGACAGTAGATAGATTTTTCAAATGTGGAATAGCCACTATTTTCAGCATAAACCCAACTGGGAATCACCAGTTGTTCATGATTCAGCTTTGCAGCTATAACCCCTGCACTACACAGGGTGAACCTATGGCCACACCCTCAGGCACGCCCCCCCTGTCAGAGCCAATCGTCTTTTGCCACGCCCCCCTGTCAGAGCCAATCGTCTTTTGCCATGCCTACCTGTCAGAGCCAATCGTCTTTTGAAATGCTCTGACCTCCGCGATGTTAGTGGGATTGGAGGTGTGATGCGAGTCACAGGGCTTGTCAAAATCTGAGAGGACACTGGCCAAACAGCAAACACCCCAACCTGGTGGCTCATTGTGCACTGTCACCCCTGACATAACCCAGGCTTGGACAGCAAGGTCTGGGACACTGGCTGCACTGCAGTGAGCAACTTTAACTGGACGGGCAGCCCCAGCACCGATGCTTTTAAACCACATTAAAAAAGAAAAACTTTTTTTGCAGTGGTGCACAAAGCAAAAACCTGCCAGCACAGGACAAGAGTAATGAGGAATAGCTCCTCAGGCACTCTGCTGACTTTGGCGTTATGTTCGGCGTGTTCTGCACTGCAGAACCCGGCCACTTAACACCATTCAGACACGCTTACTGCTCTCTGATCACCCCCTGGTTAGGCATCCGAGAGGCAGATATAACAGTCTAATGGAAAAGACTGCGTGTTCCGCGGTAGAGCCTGCTGTGAGTCAGTGTGCCTCTTTTCTAAGGACACTGAAAACCAGACTGCTCTGATCAGCAAAAGAACAAAAGGGCATTTTTAACAGGACCCCGGTGTGATCCCTCCAAGCATGAGCGCTGCCTGCAGAGTGAATGAGCAGTCTCTCGATCGCTCCGCGGAGCTGAGCGTTCCGGGCACAGTGGGTCAGGACGATTCACTCCGACATGTCTGGATCTCTGATCTCCAGTTCTTTCCTCTCCAGTTCCTAACACTGTTAGTTTGTAAATCTGATTAATATTGTAATATTCTGTCCTATCTTCTTTGATCCTAGGTAATTTCACATTCTGGATTGTATTCAGTTTTCCATGTGTCCAACTCCTTGTATTATTATTATTATTATTATGGTACTAATGTTTAATAATCTTTAGCAGTGGAGAGAAGATGGACATGTGCTTTTACTTCCATTATTGATAACTGTTTTCCATTCTAAACACACTGCGGTTGCTTCCTCCTGCGCCCTTGACTGTTCTGCCATTGTTAACTTCCCCTTGCCTGAGTGCGGTTCGAGCTTTCTCGAGGCAGGAGAAAACAATGGGAGGGCCAAGGGGACCTTGCGCTCTGAAAGATGTGAAAAATGTCAGACGCCACAATACTACACACACAAGCACTGGCAGCTGTTGGAGAGGTGAGCAGTATTCTAGCTTTACCCCGGCAGTGGTACAGTACGTCCCGTCTCTTTCTCAAACTGTGGCCCAAACGGGCTTCCAGGCAGAAAGAACCCTGCCATATTAAAATGAACACTTTGTGCAAAGTAATCATGCTGCGAATGTGACATCGGCAAGCACCAACCAGGGCAGGACAAACACAACAGGTGTCTGTCACAGCACAGCAGCCCCAGTGATAGTAACTCGGCCCCTTTGTGGGTGTTGCAGATCACAGGCTATAGGCAGCAGGAAAAGCATGGCCTCGTTCTCTTCTGCCCCTTTTTCAAAACTCCCTGGAATGTGTAAACAGGGAGAGGAGAGGGGGTGCTGCTGATGAGAAGGCTCGGGGTCAGGGCAGGGCTGCCCATCAGCCGTCTGTGAAGTCTGCTGGCTTCTGGTGGTCCTCGGCTCTTTCTGCTGGTCAGAGGTCAGGAGGAGGCAGGCTGGGTGTGTCAGAGGACTGCGAGAGGATAATTGCTCTGTTTGCAGTCATGCTGTCCTTCCCCTCTTGTTATTAATGGGGGTATGAAGTCTGCGAGACACCGAGGGGACCTGCGATCTAATTACCAGCAGAACTGCTAACCTGGAGCGAACAGGGAGTGAGACTGGGTCCTTCTCTAGTGCCACACTAATCGTACTGATTGATTACTATTACTGCCAGAGTCCCTATTACTAACAGGCGATCTGGTGGTTGCAAGGTGAGTGCTAGGTTCCCCAAGTTTATTCTGAGTGAATCTTTCATTTCAGTTTGTAGAGTTTGATTTATGTCTCTACCTGCTCCTTTGACAGATGTGGATTGTCAAGGGTCTAGTTGAGACCTATCAACTACCTCAGAAAAAGTCTAGTTTTAGAATCGTCTAAATCGTAATTTAGATAATGATGTAGAACTGGACTCAGTGATGAAGTATGAAGAATACTGTTCAATGATAAGTTCAGGAACAGTGTCTCTGGCCTGTTTTTCACAGGTTGATTCCTTTATGCTCTGTAGTAACATGAGCTTCATTTACACATGAAGAGGATGCAAAGTGATCCTTTGCCGATTGTGAATTCTTAAGGAACTGATGACTAAAAATGGTTTAGGAATTCCTGACTACATCACATGTACTGGATGTAGAGAAAGGAAACAATGTTTCAGCTGCAGAGGCTTCTTCAGGTACTGGTCTCCAGCCTCCTCCTTCTTCAGTGTTGTGTTCCTTCTTTCTAACTCCCAGTGTGGAAGTGGAGCTGCAGTCCCAGTTTTTCACAAAATTAGTTCATGGATGGTATCGCAAAGTTTTACACATTGCAAATGAAACACAAAATCGTGAACTTTGTGAAAGAAGTGTCAGTCGCCATGTTGTCACAAACTCCCACTCGAGGTCCCACGAACTGTGACGTGATGCGGCCCTTCCTGCTCACTAGTCCCTGTGATGACGAGTGATGTACGAGTGAATAAGTACAGGTTGTGCAAAAGACATTTCACCGCAGAAATGTTCCAATGTGATCTGCATGCAGAGTTAAAGAGTAAGTAGTATTTGTTGGGAAAACCGCCTCAAACTTTTTATTGGATTGAAAGAAATGTATTCACAAGCCTGCTTGTTTACAATGTCATACGGCTATATCATGTCACCAGACGTTTTGTTGCCTCGTTCGGAATCTCAGAATTAGGCGCTGCACATACCTGGAAATTTAATCAATTCTGTGATGTCTTGGAATTGGAGGTTTTACAAGTTACTGTGTACATTTTACTTTAAATTGTGGTTTGAAATGCCCTCTTCAATGCTGATTCTTTCTAACCCCAAATATAAAAATAGTGTTGCAGTTCTCCTTTAACCTTGACATGTTCCTTTGTACCCAGCGCACGCTGAAGCAGCTCTCTGCTTGTACATTGCTGACCGGATCTCCAGGAAAGCCGTGCAGTGCCCAGACGTCCTGTCCTTGGCGTCCCTCTCTGTTTTTGTGCTGGAAAGGTTCCATGAGATGTTTTTTCCCCTGCAGCTATGGGGACATGGTGCCCAATACCATCGCGGGGAAGATCTTTGGGTCGATTTGTTCGCTGAGTGGCGTGCTGGTCATTGCTCTGCCCGTGCCCGTCATCGTGTCCAACTTCAGCCGCATCTACCACCAGAACCAGCGGGCAGACAAGAGACGGGCGCAGCAGGTAAGAGAGCAGGCTCTGCGTGGTGAGATCTGGGTCTACAACAGGTGCATCGGTTCAGCGTCTCCCAGATATCTGCTGGAACACACACTGCAGCTTGGAGAGTCCAGATCACACACTCAGCCCTGACCCTTGGAGCTTGGAGAGTCCAGATCACACACTCAGCCCTGACCCTGCAGTGCAGCTTGGAGAGTCCAGATCACACACTCAGCCCTGACCCTGCAGCTTGGA